TCAACCGGTGTGAAAAAATTATTATTTAAATTTTGGAACTAAAAACTTAGATTTCGCCGATAGACTCCCAGTATGCATTTGTTTCAGGCAACGGTATCTTCACAAGGCGTTTTGAGAATTTATGAAGCGCCAGATATCATGAATATATCGATGTGGAGCCTTACTCAAGATATAGTCGTCTTTCGTGGTCGTTGCAGTTGCCTGACGTGGAGTACTCAACGCCTAACGAAACCGCTTATTGCGGTGGGTTCGGATGATACACACAGTGCTGCAAAACGAGTTGCTGTGTACGAATGCCACGATCATCTCAGGTAAATTGGTGTTTTTTATTATTCCTGAATATGCAAATCCCGTTTTTGTAATTTTAATATTAGATAATGTGTATTTATGTAAAAAGGTTTAAAAGGGAATAAAAGGAGGGTGAATAAGATAAAACGGATTAAAAAACCTGAACAGAAATGTTTCGGTCCTTAAAGTCGCATACATTCCTGTTTTTGTCGGTAAGAATCCCATCGCAGTCGTTAGGCAACTTGTCAGCAAGTCGAGCAACATGCCCCCTCTTTTCACATTTCCTTGCTGCTGTGGTGACATGCTACATGTTTCATTGCTTCTGTGTTCACAGCTTCGCAGAATTCACCAGAAAATGTAACTCACTGATGACAGTCTGTCCCTTTTCACATATCTTTAGCTCCACAATCTTCCTGTTTGTCTTCCTTCCCCTGTGCTTCCTCCTTTTATACTACTTTCTTTCATTTACAATTAAAAAATTGAAATTAAAAAGTTGCAGTTTGCTTATCCCTTTCAGATACACTCATGAGCTAATGTTTTTTTTGCAAAATGCTTACAGGAAATGGCAGCTGTTGGAATTGCCAGCTTTGAAAGTTACTGACCCAGTAACAGATATTGCATTTGCGCCATCAGCGGGACGAAGCTATCATCTGCTGGCTGTTGGCTCAAAAGATATTTGCATTTTCAAAATGAGTGACAAAGACAAGCATACTGATATGGATGGTGACTTCCTGGAGCGCACTGCTCCCACAAATTATGAAGTGACACAAGTGGATGTGCTAGAAAATCCGTTGCATGCGCCCATTCAGGTTAATTTTTATTCAGTAATTATACCTTGTTAGCTTTTGGCGATCTTTGATCTAGAACTGGTCCTTTTTGCTTCTTAAAATAATCCTTGTTTGAATTTTGCTGGCTTGATTTTCCTTCGAATTTTGTTGTTCCGGCCAGTTCATACCCTTTCAGCTTTGCGCCTTTAACACAACTAGCAAATTCTGCATAATTTTTTTAACTGAGCTAGCGATCATTGTGCTTTTGATGACCTTACTTTGCATTTCTTTGTTCGCTTTAACCAGCGAAATGCCGAACAGTTGGAGTAGTTGCAGTACATTGTGTAATTCTACGATGCATTTACAATTTTTCCAGTTCCTTTAATCGTTGCTGCTTCACAGAAGGCAGCCTATCTGACGTCCGTTCGCCCTTTTTATATGGCTTCTTGGTTCAGTAGTTTTTTCGGTAGAAGCAGTTGGCAAAGCATTATCCAACTGCTTCTCTTGAGAAAATCCTGAGCTCCTATATGTTGCGCATTACCATCTCATTCCGAACGTGCCCGGTCATAGATTACCATGAAGTACCTCACCGATTGAGGGAAAATCCTAGTGATTTTATTGAATACGATGAATTTGTTGCTTTATTTAATGTATATGTTACATTGTTTATTGCAGATGTGGCGCTTATCATGGAACATAACTGGAACAATATTGACTGGAGCAAGTTCAGATGGATATGTGCGACTGTGGAAAGGCAATATCGTTTTTTTTTAACAAATCTATGTATAAATTTAAATTTGCCTGACTTATTGTTTTTAACAAATTGCATCAGATTTTCTTGAGCTTCCGATTTAGAGCCATCGATACTACTGATGGACATCCTCACGCCAAATGGGCATTCTTGCTCTGTTGAAATTATTATTCCCGTGAAGTTATTTCCTGCTGGAACATGTGAATTTGATACCAGAATGTGGTAATCGTTTCTGACACTGTTTATGCTCTACTATCAGTTGAGAAAGTAATTTATTTTTAGAAAACTTACTGAAAAAGTGGAGCCCTATGGCGACAATCAGATCAACAGACGATTACAAGGGGTCGACTGATGATCCGCAGACGGTCACTTCAATATGTTCATTGACTAAGGAGAGTCACATTTACTATTGAGTATCTGATTGAATGGGTCTCAAAAATTACGAATTTCTTTCGCTGCTGATTTTTTGAAAAAGTATATAGCTGTTATTTGAGCTTTGACTATATTTTCTTGGCTGTCCGGGTATTTCAACTCGGCAACCATGCAAGTTCCAGCGCCGAGACTTTGCTGATGGGTACCCAGTCAAGTATCACTCCAAAACCGCGGTACCAACCTTCACGCACGTCTGGCTCCCATTGGCAAATTCTCATTAATTTTCGCATTGGCAATTTCTCAGTAATTCCAAGTTTCGAGCATTTCTTGACAGATGGGTAGTGTGTACAGCCTTCGTCATTGAGCCCGCCTATATCGTCTTGGAATTGAATTAAACATGGCTTTATTTTTATGCGTTTTTTGCAGCAATGCAATGCAAAAAACGCATATTGACGAGAGGTTGTCTGT